TCTCTCTCTCTCTCTCTCTCTCTCTCTCTCTCTCTCTCTCTCTCTCTCTCTCTCTCTTGTATGTACTGTATGCATGGTACACCTCGTCGCGTCCCCACGGTTGTGTGAGTATTCCCTAATTCGATAGATACAGGATCTGGTTCATGTGGATCCACAGCCTTCCCTAATTCGATAGATACAGCCTTCCCTAATTCGATAGATACAGGATCTGGTTCATGTGGATCCAGCCCTCACCCGCTCGTGGGGGTTTTGTCGGGGCTCCGCGATTTGCATGCACTACAACAGAGGGGTGCAACCCTTCGTGGTTGTTCAAGTGACTCCGCGCACAAAGCACAGCAGACTTGACGTCGGCGTGTGGTAGCAGCTTCAAGACTCCTCCTGCAGTGTACACGACATCCACAAAGTCGATTCGGCGTGGTGTGGAATGTCATTCCCACCACTGCTGTTGGATTAGGTCGTGCATCCAAAGCGTGTCCCTCCCTTTTCGCAGGCGCGGAGGCACGCACAGGTTGTTTTATCTCGCCGCAAGTGCTGCAGAGTAGTTGTAAGAGATGGGCAATGCCTCATCCCACGCGTACTATGGCGCGGCTCCACCGCCCGCAGCCGACGCGCGCGTGATACTGCAGCACGATCTTCCCAAGGTGATTTACGTCAAGCAGCTGGCTAACGGCAAGTTCATCAAGAGCTACCAGTGAGTGCAAAGCTCTTGAAGCATACCGCCGAACTGCGCGTAGACCCGCCATCGTGATACGAGCGACAACAGCAGCAGAGTTTGTGTTCCACTGCATAACCGTAGTGCCACACACGCGTTTTATGAGGTGCCCCGAAACCGGAACGATGCTCCTTGCCGAGTCTGCCTCGGCCGTCTCTCTGTGTCGCAGTATCAGGAGTGGTATGTATCCTTCTCCCCTTTGTGACGCATCTACGCTACTGCTGTAGCTGGTGTCGGCCTGGTCTAAGCTTGGGGCATTCACGTGTTGCACCACAGCATCGTGCGTTGCGGCATGTGTCACTCACCTCTGGCCGTGTCCCCAAATAGAGTACAGCAATGGTCGTGTCGGAATACTGCAGCTGAAGGAAAGAGGAAGGAGAACAGAGGTCTGGTGGGGAAGCAACATGATGTCGAATAACGCGTTGCTGTGCGAAAAGAGCCACCGTGCTTCAAAGCTCTCTCTGGGCCGGCCCTGCGGGACGTTTGGGCTCCAGCAATCTAACGCTGCTATTATGAGTTCTCGACCTCACAGCGGTTGTAGCGCTCCCGTGTATCTTTACGTTGGCACGCCGTATGTTCAAGTCGTCGAACAGGGTGATGTGTTGAAGGGCTACTAGGCATAATGGTACGGCGAGAGGTTGCTGCGGCCCCTGGCATGTACCACCCTCCAGCAGTTGGTGCACACGTAAATCTCCGATTATCTTCCGCTTTTGGGCGCGCCGTGGCGTTGGTGTCTTACCTGGCACCGCTACGACTGCTATTTGGCGCGCTCCCCCTCGTCTGCACAGGTGCAGAGTTGACGGGATCATGGTCGTGGTGAAGGCTTACATAAAGCGGGACAAGCGCGAGGTCCTGGCTCCTGTTGAGGCTTGCCTGTCGAACATGGCCAAAGCGCTGGACACGCGCAGCTGCCCCAATGTGTTACCTTACCAGCGGTGGCTCCAATCCGATGTGAGTGTGCGATTCGGCGCTGGGACCATGCTCAACGTGAACCCAAGCACCGCGTTTGACGGCAGCACTGGTGGTAGGTGGCCGCTGCGGGAACAGGACGCCTGCATCGACGAGGACGCCCTATAACTACGACTTACAAAGGACAGTGTGTTGCTTTTGTTGTCGGCGCGTTTAAGAGCAGTTCTGACCTCCGCCGCGTACCTCGCGTTCTGTACTCGTTTCAACCGCCAAAGGAACATTTCCGTTTTCACAACCTAGCCCGGAACAGGCACAGCAACAACGTATCTATGATGGAGGAATGGCAACTTTTGAAAACAAAGGTTGTTACTGGAGGGAATGGCAATTTTTGAGAGCGAACGTTGTTTGCACAGAATAGCCTATGGTACTGTTACCATTTCCAGGTAATGAAGAGAAAGGGGATACGGGGCACGGAAAAAAAAAATCCAAAATGGACACAGAGCTCATCACGGAAGCTTGTTCACGACTAAAACATCCGTAAGGAGTTGTTGTTGTTGTGTTGTCATTCGAGAAAAAAGACGACACCCCGATCTCTTCTCAGTACCTTGTAGCATCTGTACTGGTCAAGATGTCGCGGATGCCTTCCGTGGTCGTGCCTCTACAAAATAGAGACAACTCACCAAGCAGGTAAGTGGGGGCGCGCTCGGCCTTTAGATAAGTAGCAGTATTATTTCCGCTTCCCTCCACGATGCCGGGGATCTATCTCATCACCGCGGGACCCCGACTGATGTTTTTTTTTGTGCTGTTCCAGCCTGATCCACGAACCGTGTTACATCTCTCGAAAACACGACGATGTGCACACGCCGTAACAACAAGGCGTGTGTGTAACTTCCCCTCACGCCGAGATCGTTTCGAACCGAAAACGGCTCTCAACACACGCAGGTCCGCGCGAGCCCGCACAGGAACGCGGGCACCCCGGCGTACCTACTACGGCAGCACCTCCTGGGGACTCTAAGCGATCGGCTTTCCACCCGGCCTTTCCTCACCGACACCGAGAAGCGCTGGCTCGTGTACCTTTTGCTGAGGGCCGCGGCGCAGTGCCACGGGAAGGGGATACGTCACGGCGACATCAAGAGCGAGAACGTGCTGGTGACGAGCGGGAACTGGGTGCTGCTGACGGACTTCGCTCCGTTCAAGCCCACGTTTTTGCCGGTAAGGAGGAGGAGGAGGAGGAGGAGGAGGAGGGTGCTGGGACGGGTCTGTCGTCTCGCCTCGGCGCCGGCAACACCATCGTTGCTCGAGTACCGTATAGTCCCGGTGCTACACGTGTTGCTGAGAGTGTGTGCAGCAGCACGGTGGTGGTGAAAGGGCCGGTGTGGTTGCTCTTTGTTGAAAATTGTAAAGCGCATGATTTGGGTGAGGCACCACCTGGCATGATACACGCCGTTTCCTTGTTTCAGTAGTGCTGTTACGTTCACAGGCGGTGGCGGTGTACACCCGACATGTTGACTCTGCCTGCAACGATGAAGTGGGATTCGTGCGTACTCTGTTTCTAACGCGATGCCTGACCAGGCACAGCAGCACAACATTCTCCAGGCTTACACACCAAGTATATATGCACCTCACACACAAGACACATTCGCGCATGGCAAAGTAGGAAATAGCGATTGGCCATCCGTGATCGGCCCTGTGGGAACAATGCTCCGTCCTCTCGAGGACGCGTGGTCAATGAATGGTCTAACCGCTAAGGCATTCCAAACATTAGAGTACGTTCCCCCCCCCCGCCCCACGCGTCCCCCGCGCCCCCCCTTCAGGACGACCACCCGGCGGACGCGAACTACTACTTCAGCTCGGGAGAGCAGGGCCGCTGCTACCTTGCTCCCGAACGCTTCTACAGCGTCCCCCAGGCTTCTGACGCGTCGACGACGGGGGACGGGGCAACGAGCGGGGGAACGGCGGGGGCAGCGGGCGTGGCCGGGACACCGCAGCAAGCGGAAGGCGTCGTCGCGGGGGCTGCGCAGACCAAAGCAGGAGGAGGAGGAGGAGGGGGTCTAGATGGCTTGGTGAGTGTTGGCGAGCCGTACCCGTGGAGTCGATGCCCTATGGCTCTTGCGCCAGGTGTGCGCTGTCCTCGCCCGAAGTTTGTTGGTTGGCCGTCGTGTTCGGGGTTTCGAAGTTGCCTGGCCACGGTCGGCTTTCCCCCCACGTGGTGGACGGGTTCTCTACCCCCTCTGAAACCTCCCTCTCGTTGTCAACCCTCAAGCTTTTTTTGTTTGTCATGGACCAATACATCCGTATTGATGGCGTAACCTTGTTGTTTTGACCTCGCTCCAGGAAGCAAGCGTGATCCAACCCGGCCCCGATGGGCTCAGCACCGACAGCACCACACCCGCCAGCGCTGGAGGAGGCAAGAGCAGTCCAAAGGCCAGTGGGGGCTCGGAGTCACAGCAGCAGCAGCAGCAGCAGCAGAGGTCGAAGAAAAGTGCAAGCAGCCGGGAGGACGGAAGCAGCAGGGGCTCCGCAGGCGCGCCGGGGGGGGGAGGGGCCCCGGGGGAGGGGCTCCTGGAGTCCATGGACGTGTTTAGCCTTGGCTGCGTCATCGCCGAGGTGAGCTATGTCTGCCGAAGGCGGAGGTCTGGTCTTTGATCCGTCGAACGGGAAGAGAGTATGGCCGTCGGGTGGGGGGTCGAGCTTAATGACCGGGGTTGCAGCAAGTAACATGAAAGTTGCGTGTTGGACCTGTGTAGGTGTTCCTTGCGGGAGAGACAGCCGCTGCGTAAAATCGTCCTAAGTGTTCCCCCCATTAGACATTTCAACCATGAGTACCCCCCCCCCCCCCCCCCCCCCCCCCCCCCCCCCCCCCCCCCCCCCCCCCCCCCCCCCCCCCCCCCCCCCCCCNCGGCGACCCTCTGCTGGACCTGCCGGGACTCCTGCGATACCGCATCTCCGGCGATATGGAGGAGAGGCTGAAGAAGCTCGAGGCGGCAGGGGGGCCCGTGGTTCTCAGGCTGGTGGAGCACATGGTGCAGAGGGATGCGGGAAAGCGGAAGACGGTCAAGGTGCGACCAGGACCCCTTGTCTGTTGGGAGGGGCAACAAGATCCATCCAGATCAGTCAGTCACCTTGTATCGTTTTGCAATGTCGCCGTATCTTTGAGAGGCATGGATGGGGTTGTCGGTTGTTGTGCCCGCGAGGGGCTCGGTTGCTTTCAGTGTTGATTGATTGGTTTCTGCATACCAAGTCCTTGCGATGGGTACGTCGGTACCTCGTGACAGATAGCTCCAGGCGGGTAAGCCTGGGGATAACTAATCCTTGCCAAGATCATGCCACGCTTCCGCCTTTCTATCTTGAACCTTGAACGAGTAAGACCCCCAAGACCATAGTATACATTTTATGTTTTCTCCCTCAGATAAGTCTACGACATGTAACATGTCACAACACTTCTCTCCACACCTGTTTCCTTGGCACCCCCGCCTTCCCTTCATCTATTCATGCATTTGTGGCGTCTCTACCTGTAATCGAGAGTGTCGATGCTCCGTCCGTCCCTAGTGGGAAGCGCGGTCGATGGCCGGATGCCTCAACATCTGGTGAATCGGTTACGACATGAACCATCATTTGGGGAAGACGTACATTGTAGCTGTTGGCCTCGGGCGCTCAACGGCGCCACTATTAGGGGTGTCAAAGCGGCGGAATTTGGGGCCAAAAAAACGTCCGGTCCATTCGTCAAAATTTGAGGGGGGCACGCGGATTTGGTTCTTTTTTTGGTTCTTGAGAATCCCGCTGTTAATACTGAATAAATTATACATCAAGTCAATTTGTTGGTGCAGGCAGCTCTGCGTCCAGACAGCAGCATGGCTCTTCATACGTTACACATTCCTGGACACAGGTCCAATAGAGGTGACTGCAAGCTCGGTTTTTACTTAAGTTTAAAGGGCGGACGAACAACACAGAAACACAGGGTTATTTCAGCTGTTTTGCCCACGCCCAAGGCGGCCTTTGCTCCTCTCGTGAAAGCGAGCTTGCAGTCCTCTACCTTGGGTTTACACCTATACAGCACAACAGACTGCGCCCGAATCGCGTCAGCCAACCCCGAGATCTGCATGTCCGAAAACGGCCCGTCAAGCGGGTCTGCGGCGCCCACCGCGAACCCTCGCCAAAAAAAAAAACGGACGTCCACGACGTTCGGTGGCGGCAGGCGCGCGGCGCTGAATCTAAGGAAAAGAAGGCGAAGTCTGAAGAGAGGACGGGGAAGTCTNTTCCTGGACACAGGTCCAATAGAGGTGACTGCAAGCTCGGTTTTTACTTAAGTTTAAAGGGCGGACGAACAACACAGAAACACAGGGTTATTTCAGCTGTTTTGCCCACGCCCAAGGCGGCCTTTGCTCCTCTCGTGAAAGCGAGCTTGCAGTCCTCTACCTTGGGTTTACACCTATACAGCACAACAGACTGCGCCCGAATCGCGTCAGCCAACCCCGAGATCTGCATGTCCGAAAACGGCCCGTCAAGCGGGTCTGCGGCGCCCACCGCGAACCCTCGCCAAAAAAAAAAACGGACGTCCACGACGTTCGGTGGCGGCAGGCGCGCGGCGCTGAATCTAAGGAAAAGAAGGCGAAGTCTGAAGAGAGGACGGGGAAGTCTGTGGCTGAGGCGTCAGCAGCAGACAACACCCGGCGCGCTATCGAGCGCGGGAGCATCACCGGCGCGCAGCAAGCGCTGGAAAGAACGAAGGAGGAGCTGGCCGAAAGTAGTAAAAGTGAGGAAGAGAGCAAGGCTGGTTGCAGCATGGCTCTGGAGTTTGCGCGCGAGAAAGACGAGGAGCTCAAGTCGGAGCGGGCACGAAGACAGCAGGCCGAGCAGGAGAAACAAGCCATTGGGCGAGAGAAGGAGTCGGCGGAGGCGGGACAGCGCCAGGCGAAAGAGAGAACCCGTTGAATAATCCGAGCACACACACGAACGGTGCCCTCATGCGCGTGCGTCAGAGGGTCTTTTCGGGAGGTTCCGACGGTTCCGTGCAATTTCATTGGTCGGTCGATTTTCCATCAGCAAGATCCGAGGACGCTTTTTTAATTTTTTTCCTTTCAGTATAGGAAAATTTTCCGCTTTGACACCCCTAACTGTACTCAAGGGAAACCAACAAAGACAGTCCTGCAACGCTTAACGCACACCGCAACACGCACGCCGTGTATCTTGCTTACCCAACGCCGTGACCTACCCTCGTCTGCAGTGCTAGCCACGAAGAAAGGGCGTCACCTATGTTAAATAGTACCCTCGCTGCTACATTTAGAGCTAATCCCAAGTAGAGGCCAGTCGCCAAAGTGTTCTTGGATAAAATAAATGGTCGGTAGTTCATAAGTACCCCTCCCTCTCCCCGATTCAAATAACAGGAGTACATTCGGCGGATGGAGAAGCCGGGGACGCTGTTCCCGCGGTCGTTCGGCTCTTTCCTCTTCCCCCTCCTAGCCACCATGCACGCCGGCGAGGGCGCCGGGGAAGACGGCGACCTCGCCTCCGCTCCTCCCTCTCCTGCGAACGGGAGCAAGCCGCCACTCCCAGAACACCATGACGGCGGCGGCGGCGGTGGCGGTTGCAAAGGTGGAGCGATAAGGTCTCCCGACGAGCGACTGGCGCTGGTGGCGCGGTCGTACGGGAGGGCCATGTGCGAGCTTGCGGGGACACCGGACCCGGAGGGGCACGCCCTGCTGCAGGCAGCCCTGGCGGAGGTGGGGGGAGGGGGGAGGGAGGGCGGCGGCGGCGGGGAGCCGTGCGCAGGTGGTGGGGACGGGGGGCTCCGCGAGGGTGGGGGCGGGGACCCCGCGAACGGCGGCGGTAGAGAGCCGAAGCGGGGTAGCAGCGACGGGAGAGGGCAAGCGGCCGGCGGGGGTAGCGGGGGAGGGGCTGACCTCACGGAGTTGATGGAGAGAACGAGGTTCGTCGGTTTTCTGTGTCGAGGGAGGGATTTGCTTTTTGTTTGTGCATGTTGCGGTGGTTCTGCAGCAGCGAAAGAGTTTGCCAAAAGACACGAAACCACTAGACCAGTCAGCCCTGACTAGTCTTGTGGCCTGACTTTAGTTGCTACAGTAAAGCCGGGGGATTCCTAAGGGGGGGAGGCTTCGCGGGTTGCTTTTGTCCGGGTGGTATGTGTAGCTGTTGTCGAGTTTCAATCGAGCGAAGCAGGCCAAACACACCCGAACTCGAATCGTTGCTACCTCCTTGTCGCGAATCTCCCGAAGGTCTCTCATCGCCCGCGTGGAAGCTCTCGGCATCGGCAACCCCCGTCCCTCCTCCGGCGGCACGGCACGACCGTCGCCGCCCTCCGCCGTACCCTCGACGGAAGAACGTCCGGCCGGGGAAGCGGCGGCCGCTGTGCCAGGCCTCCGGGAAGGAGAAGGGGAGGCTTCTTCTGCTTCCAGCAGTAGCTGCGGCGGCGGCGACGGTGGGTCTTTGATCATCCTGGTGCAGGTGGTGTGCTCGTGTCTCCGGCACCTTCGTTACCCGCGGAGCCGGCTTCTGGGACTAAACCTTCTCGTTGCCTTCGGGCGGTGTTGCGACGACGAGGCCAGGCTGCAGCGGCTAGTGCCGGTGAGACCCCACGGGGGGTTGGGGGGTGTTTTCGAGAGAGAGGGG